TCTGCTTCATACCTACAATTTGACATCCCAAAGTCACACCCTCTTGAAAAGTTCATTGAGGGGTTTATCAGTGTTATTTTACAATAAAAGCTATATTGAGCAGGTTGACATTAATCTGAAAGGAAAAAAAGTTGAAATTATTTTTATAGCATCACTGACAAATTCCCAAGAAAATAAAAAATAAAGGTCAATTTGATAAGGTCTCTTTTATTTCATAAAAGAATACAGCATTCTGATTTTAATGATATACCATATAATTCAATATGTACTGTATCATAACTGAGATCAGTTTCATAATTTCCATTTGTGAATTTTTTACCCACATCTGGAACATCATGTAAGTAGCGGTATCCATATAATGGAATATTTGGTCGATTAACCAACATATTTGTTGCTCTCCTAAAAAGCAACATCCTCCATTATAATTTTCTGTTCTGACAGTTGGCTATCCGATGACACTGCAGTTTCCTCACAATGGAGTAGAACATTTTAGACAGCTCTTCAAAAGGGTGTGTAAGAATTCATGGACTTCAGCACCGGTACAGAAACTAATTGTGTAGTAACATGTTCCCTGCTCGCTTTATTCAGGTGATAAGGCAAAAGCCTCCCCAGCACACAAATTTGCATGTTCTCCTTCACTCACACCTCCCTCCCTCTCCTTAAATTACAAAACAGTTGCTTATGAAAAGAGAAGGAAGGAAACATAGTTCTGTCACAATACCGCTTCCCTTTTTATTTTTCCTCCCTCCACTGATGTGTAGAGAGAAAAAAGTACAATTTATTATCCCACCCAGTTTTATCCTCTTCCAGATAATTTAACTGAACTGATGCTACAGAGGATATGCTGACTGGCGCTTTTACTATGCTTAATGTGTTAACCAAAGCCAGTTGTGTCAGTTTTAACAGTTTTAGTTAAATTCCCATGACACTCTTAACAAACGTTGAAACCGCTGCCATGTCTTACCCTGACAGATTTTCCGCCGTCATCGCATACTTAAAATAAATGTCATCCCCAATCAAAAAGTTCACATTTTACTGACAATATAATTTGTTACTTTGTTCTTGATTTATCTGTCTCTCTTTCTCCTCTATCTCTCCTATTCTTTTTGTTTCACAATAATATAACCTAGTAGTAATACTTTTCATAATGTTGTATGCCATATTTTATTGATAGAGTAAGAGATGTGAACGTAAAACAAGCATGTAAATAAAATAAAAATGTTCTGATTCAGTACGTGATGAAGTTGTTCTAGGAATGGGCTCAGGAGAGATGTTGATTAAATTCTTTAAATTATAGGAAACCTTATTATCTGGGATGCTGAGATCAGGCTATTTCTTGATCAAACATTGGGGATGTTCAAGTATTGAATGGTCTTCTCCAACTTTTATGGGCTAACTTCCTTTAGGAAAAAGAATATAAGATGCTTTTAGGAAAGAAACTGATACTTTACAGGTAGTATGAGTGAACACTACAGCTAGTAAAGGAAATTCTATGCTCAGGAAAGAATTTGCAGTTCTGTTAAATGTATAAAAGACTAATTGGCATCCTTTGCATTAATGTATGACTATATAATTAAGCTGCTGCCTATTCGCTTTTCAATCTGAAGCAGGGAGAGGAAGCCATGACTTCAGATGGACTTGGACTTAATCTTCGTAAACGTCAACGTCCACAAGGCAGTGACCGTTGCATTGTGAAGGCCAAAGGCAGAACGNGGCAAGTTGCTGACTCAACTTGCTAAAAAAATTTGTAAACCGCTTAGAGAGGGCTAAAAGCTCTATGAAGCGGTATATAAGTCTAATTAAGAAATAAAATAAATAAATCAAGAATGTTCATCTAAAGGTAAAGACGAGCTTGGATCTCTTTCGCTTCCTGTCGATTTAATGGACCTGTTGTCCAGGCGGGTGTTTCACCGGGGGAAAAAATAGATGTGGTTGCCAACCAGGCAACGAGGAGTTCGAGTCCCCCCTCTTAGGCATTAAAACTGGTCGTGTGACTTTGGGCCAATCACCAGGTGATTGGGAGTTCTAGCCCCACCTTAGGTATGAAAGTTGGATGTGTATCTTTGGGCAAATCCCCAGGCAATGGGGAGTTTCTAGCATGGGGCAACTGCCAGCATGGCAGTGGGAGATTGGACCGTGGGGTGGGCTTGTGTGTGGGTGTGTGGGTGTGGGGGGCAAGATCTTGAACTTTCAACTGGGTGGGGAAAACTGGGAAGCTTTCAGATTCGGGTTTTCCCAGAGGTGCCAACATCTCTTCATCAATTGGGACTTTGAGGAATCCTTTGCCTCGGACTCTGATTTAATTTCGGAGGCTATTTGGAACGCTGACATGGCATTTACCTGGTTCAGCAGGTAAAGGATCTTGGTCAGGATGTGCAGACATCTTCGTGGGTTGATGGGCGTCTCGTTGAAAATACGAGCCTGGGGAGGGAGAGAGACAAATCCAGGACTTCACATTGCTACAGGAAACGCTACAGCAGTGTTTCTCAACCTTGGCGACTTGAAGTCCACAGGACTTAAAGTCGCCAAGGTTGAGAAACACTGCGCTACAGGAAACGTAGAGTCAGACTCCGGGAAGACTTGCTGACGTTTCCCGTCGGACTCTGGGTCCAAGTCTGGACCCCACTCTTCGAAAGGGCCGTCAATACGCTGGAGTCCACAGAAGGGCAGCCTAGATCAGGGGTATCAAACTCAAGGCCAAATCCGGCCCGTGGGGTCACCCTGAAAACCGTGAATAAACCCGGTCCGTGGTGCCTCTGCCAGCGAAAACGGAGATCGGGAGGGCTGTGCCCGGTTCCCGCAGGCTCCGTTTTCAGCTGCAACGGCCTCCCGCCACCAAAAGATAGAGGTCGGGAGCCTATTTTCGCTGGCAGAGCACACAGGCGCCCCCAACACAAGTGACATCAAGCTGGACTCTGTGTTAAGCATCGTTTTCATTACTCATTATTTTCACCTTGTTGTTTATATCTTACGATTCATCACTTTGTCGTTGGTCCACTGGGAAATCCTGCAGCGGAGGCAAATTCCCCATGTGTCCAATCACACTTGGACAATGAAAGAATATTCTATATTATATTTTCAATTCTGTTTACGTAGATTTTAAAAACTCCCGACTCTCAATGACTTATTTTTGAGAGGTTTGCATTAGATCAAGGGTGTCAAACTCAAGGCTCGTGGGCCCAGATCCGGACTGCAAGGGAATTTAGATCTGGCCCACGTGGCCGCCCTGGAAACGGTGAAGGAATGGACCGTGGTGATTCTGCCAGTGAAAACGGCACTCCCCAGCTCCGTTTTCACTGGCTGAGGGTTACAGGAGGATGCAGTAGCCGAAAACGGGAGTTTTTACTGGCAGAGGATTGCAGGAGGATGCGGTAGCCGAAAATGGAGCTCAGGAGCCCGTTTTCGCTGACAGAGCGCTCAGGCCACCACCGGCGTCCCCAACACAAGTGACGTCAAGAAATTGAGTTTGACACCCCCAGTCTTGATAGTCAGGGGAGACAATGTGACGTCCACCGAGAAGTAGTTAAAGGAACTGAGTATGTTTAACTTGTCAAAAAGAAGATTCCTCTAGTTGTGTCTAGTGGTAAAGGCACCAAACTAGGAAGCAGGAGACTGCGAGTACAGGTAGTCTTCGCCTTACGGCCACAATTGAACTCCCAAACGTTCTCCTGCTAAGTGAAACATTTGTTCAGCGAGTTTTACCACTTTTCTGGCCACAGTTGTTAAGTGAATCCTTCCAGTTATTAAGTTAACACAGTTGTTAAACGAATCCGGCTTCCCCACGGACTTCACAAGGTCGCAAAAGGGGATCGCGTGACCCCGGAATGCTGCGACCATCGTAAATGGGAGCTAGTGGCCAAGCGTCCGAATTTTGGTCACGTGACCATGGGGATGCCGTGATGGTTGTAAGAGTGAAAAGCAGTCCTAAGTCACTTTTTTCAGTGCTGTTGCAACTTTGGTCACTTAATGAACTGTTTGTTGTAAGTCGAGGACTACCTATACTAGTCCTGCCTTAGGCATAAAAGTTGGTTGGGTGATTTGGGGCAATCGCTAGAAGATGGAGACTTCTAGCAGCTCCTTAAGCGTGAATGGCAGCTAGGTAACCTTGGGCCAATCACCAGGAGAGGGTGAGTTCCTTCAAATAATAAGGAGGGAGCCACCACAGAGAAAGTCCTTCCTAGTCCCTCAGGCCGACCACTTCAGAAAAGGAGACGAGCAATTACACACAAAAATAAAGAGTGATCTGTTAGCACACCACCCAGAGACAGATGGTCATAGAGACAGAATCAACAACACAAAATAAAGTCAAATAAGGCCCCATCATACCTCCTGGAGGATCGCGCTTTTTTCCAAATGTTGGAAAGGGTTCGAGCCGCTACCTGAAGGAGACAAGCATACATGATGTGAGCCCTTGACGTTTCAAATGGGGGGGGGGATTTGCGACGCTCCCTTAGATACTTTCAGCAATGCTAGGTGAGGCGCTCCCATCAAAGGGACCCATCCCCACGGAATGGACGCTTCTTGGCAATGTGAAAATGAGCAAGAAATAGGAGTCGTACATGAGGCTGTGAAGCAAATGATATGATATGAAGCAAATGATATTAATGAGCCGAGGTGGCGCAGTNAGAGGAGCGAAAGGGGAGTGGAGTTTGCAGGAGACAATTCAATCATTAGGGTGAAGATCTGTTCCTTACTTCTTGCCAAGGAATTGCCGCTACAGCTTGGAGTTTGGAAGATATCGGCCTGGCAGCTCTCCATGCCTGATAAAAGCCTGTGATTGTGAAATTGCATGCAAGACTGTTGGCCGGGACTTTGCTGGAGAGGAATTAAACTAAATAAAAGGGGTTTCATCGGGACGAGGAGCTGGTTTCATGATCTTGGGAAGCCGAGGTCAGAACACCAGGGTCGGCTCAAAGCCAGGGAAAGTTTGAAGAAGCCCTCAACACAGGTAGCACCTCCTCATGCCTGCCTCCTGGGAGGACCGACCTAGAACGTGTGAACACAGGTCCTCCACTACTGACGTCATGATGACAGCCCACACGATCCTTAGCCACTGTGGAGCTGACTCAGAATGATGGGCATTGTAGACCAACAATCAAGAGCTGCGATAGCCCAGTGGTTAGAGTGCAGCAATGCAGGCTAACTCTGCTCACAGTCTGGAGTTCAATCCTGACCAGCTCAAGGTTGACTCAGCCTTCTGTCCTTCTGAGGTCGGTAGAACGAGGACCCAGATTGTTGGGGTCAATGGGGTGACCGTGATTCTGTAAACGGCTTAGAGAGGGCTGTAAAGTACTGTGAAGCGGTATATAAATCTAAGTGCTTCTAACTGCTTAGGAAGAGAGGGAGGGAGGGAGGGAGGGAGGAAGGGCTGTGGTGGCACAATGATGAGATTGCAATATTGCAGGCTAATTCTGCCCACTGCCAGCAATTCGATCCTGACCGGCTCAAGGTTGACTCAGCCTTCCATCCTTCTGAGGTGGGTAAAATGTGGACCCAGATTGTTGGGGGCAAGAGAGGCTGACTCCGTAAACCTCTTAGATGGGGCTGTAAAGCCCTATGAAATAATAAATGTCTATGTGCTATAGCAAGGAAGGAAGAAAGAGAAGGAAGGAAAGAAATGAAGGAAGGAAGGAGGAGAGTAAGAAAAATAGGAAGGAAGGAAGAGAAGGAAGGGAGGGAGAGAGAGAGAAAGAGGAAGGAAGAAAGAGAAGGAAGGGAGAGAGAAAGAGGAAGGAAGAAAGAGAAGGAAGGAAGGAAGAAGGAGAGAGCGAGAAAGAGGAAGGAAGAAAGAGAAGGAAGGAAGGACCCTGGGAATACAGTGGTTAGAATGCAGTATTGCAGGCAAACTCTGCCCACTGCCAGCAGTTCGATCCTGACCAGCTCAAGGTTGACCAAGCCTTCCATCCATCTGAGGTGGGTAAAATGAGGACCCTGATTGTTGGGGGCAAGAGAGGCTGACTCTGTAAAC